ATCCACCCAAGCAGCGGCCAGCACATTCTTTGTTTGTCATCAACCAGGCTGCACATTTTTTATCGAAATTTCGTTGAAGATACCTTTTTTCACAAGCCCGATTAAGATATCTTAAGCAGATCGGCTTCCCTGCATCCACGCACAGTTTTGTGTTACTGTCCCTTGGCATCGGCGCGCCTCAGAACCCACACGCCCGAAAAGAGTTGACATCATGGAAACATTCACAACGATCCTATCTTGAAGCTTGTCATGGTAGGGTGTGTTTTTGGGTCTGCTTTTCAAGATCCTGCTAGGGGTCTACTTCAGGGATTAAACGCTCGTCTTCGATCTGGGTCCTCAAGCAGGTGCAACGGGCCTGGTGGGTCGCTTTTATCGGGAAGAAATTCGAACTTTTCGTAGATCCGCATCGGACACATGTCCTTGTCCGTCTTTGACAAGGTTTTGGGAATCATGTTCCCATCCCCAAGGCATAAAACCCGATGGTCCGAAGGAGAAGGAGATTGACTAATGCGCCGCGTTCATGACCCAAATCTTGCGCCACTCGTGGGCGGTTAACGGCTGTCTTCAAGCGAAACCGTGTTGGCATGTGGTTTTCTCGCTTTTCCATTGTCCTTATGACATCATTGGGTGTCAGGCATGCCCAACCAAACGTCACCCCGGGACCGATGCTCTTAACGCTTCGCTTAGGCGGTGCGACCCACAGGCCAACAACCCAACATGAAGCCTCAATTTTGAAGTTGAGACCGAGGCGCCCACGTGTGCGGCGAGTCAGTGTGGATCATGCGCAACGCACGGAGACCCAGGGGTGAGCTATTTCAGGTTTTGCTTCAAGAAGTGTGGCGTTTAGGCTCTAAGTTTTCGGGTTCAACCCTGCTCACCAACTCTGTAAATAAATGACTGATATCGATGAAGTCAGGCGTGCCAAGTCTTACAGTTGCTGAGCTATTTCATCTGAGATGAAAAATGGAAGGCCTCGGCACAGAAGTGTCCCCTTGTGCCCAACTGGCTGCGCAAGACCATGGACGGCGACGGCCAAGACCGCTTGAAGACCATGGGCAACATTGTGATTCCGCCGTGTGCGGAGTTTGCACTGTTAATAACATCTTGCAGTCGTCGCAGATCTGACTGAACTGGATCTGTGTGCCACTGAGTGAACCGAACATGAACAACATCGGGCTAACTTTGCCGTATGTTTTCCTGACCTGAACTGAATGAGCTTACATATCATAGACGGTTTGAGATAGGGCAACCTCGATCACCGTCTGCAGTTGTTCGGGGATTTGGAGTTTTGGGATGGCAGCACCAATACACTCCCGGCAATTTCCAGGTTCAATTCCTAGTCTTCTGCATTGACTTCCAAGTTCAACACGCAGGCGGCAGCTTGCGAGTTTGAGGTATGCCTGTGCGTGCCCCTGTGCCACGGCAGAACAACCTACCTCAGACACAGCAGCCCCACACCACAAACTCCGAAAGCCTCAGACCTCGAACGCAACGATACTGCTTATGCAACACAAGACAGACCCTTGTACAACCTTATAAACAGTTCTCAAGTGTGGGGTTCGCCAATTTTCGAAAACCCGTCGCAGGATCACTAGGTCACGTACCCGTACTACTCCGATGTCTTTCTCTTGCAGGGTGTATTCAATAATCAGGAAATCCGAATACAAAACCCAAACCATGTGGGTCCTCTGGGGCTACAGGTATGGTATACCACATCTCTCCAAACCCTGCAGTTTATAGGTTGTCGGTGTTGGGGGATCAGGTTAAAGGCCGTGCCAGGATTGTTCATGGCTTGTGGGTGTCGGTTAAATGTCCTGAAGCCTAAACCCGAAGCCCTGCTTGAAACTGTTCAAGGCTATTGAGATAACAAAAGTAGTTACGTGTATCAATAATAAGAAGTATAAGTGGTTTTGAAGGTACTTTAACAAAAGCAAATAGTTACATATTCAAGGATGAGGGCATTACAAGTTGGTGATGAGTATCGTATGACGATCCTTCACCCCAGACCCTAAACCCCGAAACCAAAAGCTGTAAACCCCAACCCATTAAAGTTTAGAGTGTTATTGGTTTTTGTAGGGTGACAGTTTCGGGTTCTCTGAGGGTTTCCCAGAGAGCCCAATACCCCTTAAAGAAAGGAACATAGCCTAAATCCTAATAGGAAGCCTTCGATATTTTAAGCAATATTCCTTAATTAAGGGCTATTGGGCTCTCTGGGTTAAAGGGTTTCCAGGTTCCTTTCTCGGTTTAGGTGAGCGTAAACAAGCTCCTATTTTTGGGCCCCAATCCACAAGACTACTCTTGATGATTTACATCCTGCATTACCTTAAGGATTCTAGACTGTGGGAATTATGGTATATTTCTTATTATGGGTAATGCAGGATTTATATCATCCACCGTAAGACGAGGCCTTCAGCGTCATATTCAGTCTGCGGCAGGGGGCCCTGGGATGGGAACTGGGGCATTCAAACCATAAACTGGGACATTTCTATTTAAAAGGGTCATGGGATTTAGCAAGCAAGGTTACGAGTACCCGCCGTAATAACAGTTATAAGTATGTATAGCTACCCTAGTTACTAAGTCTCATGATCGTCTAAGTAGGCTTCAGTGATTCAGAGTTTGGGGCAAAGGGTGTTTGGCAATGAGATGACAGGAACCCAGAGCCTGAAGCTTAAGGTTCAGGAGCTTGTGCTATGGGGATGTTGCAGAAGGTATGGGGTTTGGGATTTTGATCAGCACAATAAGAATAAGAGTAGTGGTACTTACAACAGTAGCAACAACACAATATGTCATGACCATAATCAGTAACATAAAGGAGTAATAAGAACACTACCCATCATAATATCACGGAACAAGAAGAATCACAAAAACCATCATAATAGTAATAATAAGACGAAGAAGGAAGGTGGCAGTCGAATTAATGCCGGTCTATCTTGGAAGCCCAAACCTTGAACCCTGCTTTGAGAAACCAAACCCCTGAATCCTCAAACCCAGTCCATGCGGCATTTATGCACTCCGAGACAGCTAACTCTGCTAGCTCTTAAATTCACTCATAAAGACTGTGATACTGTCAGAGCCAAGCCCGAAGCCCTAAACCCGAATCCTTAAACCCTAAACCTCAAACCCCAAGCCCTGAAACCCTGAAGCCTTGAAGCCTTGAAGCTCGGCGGCCTGGAGCTCTAAGTTTTCATCGCCTTGTTCTGATAGCTTAACTGTTTAGCTGCTAGATAGACGCTACTGTCCCGATGCCTCCACCCTAAACCCCCTAAACATTGAACCCGTTTCGCCTAAACCGGAACCCAAAGCCTGTAAACTCTAAACCCTCTTGCTCTTGCATCCTGTGTGCATGGCAGAGTCAGTCAACCTTTCAGAGTTCAGGGTCTAGGGCCTTTTTTTTTCGGAGAACCCCTAGAAAAAAAACCCTTAACGCCCAAACTAAACCAAACGGCTAGCCATGCCTGATGTTTTTTTGGTCTTGGCACAAGAGCGGCCCTGCCCTGCGCGGTTTGACCCAAAGGTGGGGTTTGGGGTGTAGGGGTTAGGGTGTAGGGTTGATGATAGTTAGAATATTCCTACTTATAACCCTACTCATAACTACCCATGAGCCTCCAAGTATGTAGACCCTCAAACCCTAAACGCTGAAACCTTAAACCCTGACACCCTAAACCCTGAACCCCTAAACCCTGAACCCTAAACCCTGACACCCCAAACTCTGAAACCCTGAAGCCCTAAACCCTAAATACCCTTGGTGTTGCCCAGGTGCGGAGCAACTTCGCAGCCAAGGTCTTGGCCAAGTTCCACGACTTCGTTTTCCCGGCGCGGTGGGAAATGCACGCAACACCCCTCCCTAATATAGGTGGGAATTTAGGGTTTCGGGTTTAGGGTTTAGGATTTGAAATAGGGGCCTTAATAACTACCTATATATATATACACACACACACTATTTTGAAGGTTCCTTATTCTAGTTATAGTATAATGGGCACCCAAGCCTTATTCTAATTATTGAGGCCCCTATAGGGCGGGGTGTCGGGTGTAGGGCTTTAGGGTTTCAGGGGTGTAGTTTGGGCAAGGGAACTTCTGAGGCTCATGAGACTAGCTTCGTAAGTATTTGTGGGGAAATGCTGTAACTATAGCCACCTTGCTTATAACCCCACTTGCTAAATCCGCTAGTTTTCCAAGATGAGTCGACTATCCTAAACCCAAGTCGCGATTTCAGTTTGAGGACTTAAGGGATTATGGGATTTAGGAATGGGGTCTAAAGTTTAGGAAGTGTGCCCTAAGCCCTAAGCTTTAGACCCCTTAACTAAACCCTAAACCCCTAAACCCTAAAGACTAAACCCTGCGTCGGACGGGTGTCATGAAGGGCTTTGCGGCCCAAGCGCTGGGCCTTTTGCTGTGACCTCTGGAACCCGCAGCCTTTCTAAAGAGTAAGGAAGTTGCAGTACATAGGTTTTAGGGTACTTGCTCGAGTTTAAGATCTAGGTTGGTCCACCAGCCCACCAATGAAGTAATGCCTTATATAAGGACCGTTAATGACCCTTAGATGACATTACCCCACTTACCTCTACCCCACCCTTCAATCCGTTGGAACACCCTAAACCCTAATCCCAGTGTTGACCTGGCCCTAACCCCGAAACCCCGAACCCTAAATCGTAAAGACCAGAAGCCCCCTCGTACTTAGACTGAGAAGGGGGCGAGTGTCAGGGCTGAGTCTCTCTGGTTTAGGGCTTAGTATGTTGGGGTTGGGTTAAGGGTTTTGGGCTTGGGAGTTCCAGGCTTCAAGGTCTAAGGGATTGCATGCCTACCCTCGGGCTCCCCAATTAGTGTCTATACCTTAACCCTAAACCCTCAGCCCTAAACCCTACTTCCTAAACCCTCAACCCTATAGATCCTTTACAGGAACCCTTGTTGTACCCCTTAAAGACCCTAAACCTTAAACCCAAACCATTCGCAGTACTATGCTCAAGGGAGGCCACTAGGGCCGGGCCACACGTGGGGGAAGGATGGCTTACAATGTGGCTTGAACTGCTTGGTTTTCTGTCAGGGTTGCATTTCAGGGTTTAGGGTCCTTCACGGTTCAGTAAGGCTTCGACAAGGATCCTTTAAATCTCAGGTCGTTCCTTTCCGGGTTGTACGCAGGCTTAGTGTTTAGGGCCTTAGGGTTGAGAATTAGGGATCAGGTTTTTGGTTTCTAAGCTGTTGGTGAAGGATTTACAGAACCATACTCTTGAGGCTGGCGCAGGTCTCAAAGTTTGGCACTTGGATGTCGGTTTTGTGACGTCTGGTTACCTTACACTGCACCCTAAACCCTTGTGTTTAACCTCGAGACCGTGGGCAGACGCAAAACGCACTTCAACAAAAAATCCTAAACCCTGAACCTCTGACTTAGGTCGTGGTTTGAGATTTAAAGGGGTTTAGGAAAAGAACCAAGAGACCGCTTGCAGAGAAGAATCCCGATGCAAGGTTATGGGTTTACGGTTTGGGGTTGAAGCGGTTTAGGGTCATGGGGTTTAGGGATATCTCAGGTTGATGTTTCAAGGATCTTCAAAGACCGTTTGTCGGAATCGTTCGTTTTTCTGCCCGCCCAAATCGCCCGAACCCTAAACCCTAAACCCTAAACTGCGAAGCCTCGAAGCCTAACACGCCCCAAAAATGGCACCAACGCCTAGTGTAAATCCTGAAACGATGCCTTGAATCCCTGCGCCGTCAACCCTCAGAGGGCCCAGGCCCCTTAATTCAGGAGTACCCAGAGGCTCCGTATGTACTATCATTATGGATTTAGCTCCCAACAGACCATCCTTATTAGAGGTCCATAATGGTAGTATATATGGAGCCTCTAGGGTATACTTTCCACAATAATTCATCTCCCCTGTAATTTAGGGTATTTTCCTGACTACACTGGGAGCTTCATGTTGCCTCAAGCTTCATTAATATTTAGGGTTGATTTTTGGTAACCCCGGATGAAACCAATATACAACCCAAGTATAGTACTATAGCACAGGTACTTTAGTTGGGGGATTTTCAACCCCCTTTGCTGAGGGTGCAGGTGCAAATATGGTTGGGTTATGCTTGCCGTCCAGCCGCAAAAGCCCGAAAGCCATGATCACACCGAGGGCCAAAACCCCCCGCTGCTGCTGAAAAGTGACTCGAAGCCTAAACCCTAAACTCTGAATCCTAAATCCTGAACCCCAAGCCTAAAGCCCTCAATGCTTTGTGCCTAGTTACGTTCTTCAACATCATCGTTTGTCTATACGGTTTGTGCTGGTTTGATAAGCTTCATTTGTTTGCATTGGGGGCTTAGGGTCCATCAGGAAGGTTATGGTTTTGTACTCCCGCTGGAGTTTTGAGGGCTTCGGTTCAGGGCACTGGCGACGTGTTCGGGTTTTTGTGGCGCTAGCTTACGCAGCTTATGGTTCGAGCTTCGAAATTTAGGTCTGCCCTGAATCCTAAACGTCTGAACTTTAGTTTTTTTTTTTGTGGGGGCCGGCGGTCCGCCAAAGAAGATGCGAAGACTCGCCCAGTGAGGTCAGCGATAGCTTCCAGGTCATGATGCAGTGTATCGAGGCGCGCTCCCTTTCCCATCCAAAGATGTATATAAGAGGTTTAGGGTTTAGAGATTCGGGTTCAGGGCTTATAGGGTTTTGGATTTAGGGGTTTAGGGTTTAGGGCCAGGATCAGACCAGTTTGGGTGTGGGGTAAAGCGGGTAGAGCTTCCGCTCTACTCCAGGGGGAAACTCTAAGCCGCTTACGGTTTAGAGTTCAGGGAGCCGTACTCTATATTCGGAGAGAAGCAGGGGCTAATGATCACCAGAGACACTACAAGAGACGGCTGCCACAAATGCGCCACGGCGTACCACACTGACTGTGTAAGCTTAGTAGCTGAATGAGTTCACCTCACAACTTTAGGGAAACCTCATAGAACCGAAAGTGTACGGTTTGTGGGGCTTGTGGACTGAGCAATTGGAGGCTTCTACGTGTTCTATGAGAGGTTCAGGGCTTAGGGTTCAGGACATGGGAGACCCAAACGAAGGCCCAAACCCAAGAACTAATCCCCAAGATCCCCAAATTTTAAACCCTGCACCCAGCCGAAAGGAAAACCAGAACCCTTTGCTTCCTCCGGCTTCTATAAGCGCCTTTGTAGGTGCTTTGATGTGAAGTCATACTCGAAGAAGGAGGGGTTTGGATTCTGCATTTTGGTCGCCCACGCAGATCCAAAACCTCTAAGCCCCAAGCCTCATGCTCTAGGCCCTAACCGTCAGACCGCGTAAATCCTAAGCCCTAAAGCCTTTGGAGGACCCGCTGTTCACTGAGACGTTGCGGCGCTTCGAGCGAGAGCACTGCCGTGAGTTTGAGGAGCAAGAGGAGAAGCTTGGCCTAGCTTCAAGGGTTTGGGTTCAAAGGAACTTTAAGGGTTCTTGCAGGGTTCCTTTCAGAGGTCTTTAGGGGGATCCTGTCTGGGTTCACAAAAGGCCTTCTTTAGGAATTATTTAAAGGCTTGCGTTTTAAGGGCTCCTTTTCGGGATCCTTTACGTAAGGGTTTGGGTTTTAAGGGTTCCTTCCTTAAGGGTGCCTTCAAGGGTTTAGGGTTTAGCCTTTCATGGGTTTGGGGTCAAGAGTTCCTCTAATGCTACCTTCCATGGTTTCTTTCCTTTCATGGGTTTGGGGCCAGGGTTCAGGGCTTAGAGTTTCAAGCTTTTGGGGTTTTCGGGTTGTGGGGTCAGAGTGTTTACTTGGAGGATCAGGGGACTTAGTGACTGGGGCTATTACTAGGGTAACTACACTTATTATTACTTATAACACCAATTAAGGTATATACGTATAGCCATACTTACTAAGTCCCATGATCCTTTAAGTGCGACTTTCGGTTCTGCTCCGGGTAACACCTTGTTTTGGTGACCACCTTTGCCTTCTGACGGGAGTAGCCCCTATATAGCCCTTTGAAAACTATAGTACTCGTACCATAATATATCACCTTTAAGGATTCGGCGATTCGGGTTTGGGATCAAAAGCTGGTACACTGGGCAGATACATCCTTCAACACTTAGAAGGACTGGGGGGACTAATGGGTTTCGGATTCAGGTTTCAGACGTTGATGCTGGTGATGTCCTTGATCTTTGTGCAAATCAAAGGGCTATGTAAGCTGTGGTACACCATTCTCCTAAACTCTAAACCTGCAAACCCGAACCCATGGGAGCAAGCTGCCCTACACCATTTTCCTAAAACCATTTCCTAAACTTTTAACCCAACAGTCGAAGAAGCAAGCTGTCATAAACCTTAGTTTGAACAGAAACCCTAGAATTGCAGTAACAAGCGATCCTACACCGTTGTCCTACGCCCAAAGACCGAAGACCTAAAATCAAAGGAGCAATCTCACAACCCTACCGTCAAAGAAACGGGCTGTCCTACACCAATGCCCTACACCCAAAGCCCTGAGCTTCGAAATCCAAGGAACAAGCTGTCCTACACCATAATCCACCAGCATTACATCCAGCTGATCGAGATGTGGATCGAGGGGCGGATGGCCCAGGTCATTGAGGGCTTCAGCAACCGGACAGCACTTTAAACCAAACCGTTTAGGGTTTAGGGTCTAGGGTTCCAATACAGTTCCTTAGGGCCCCGTATTCAAGTTCTACTACAAGACTACAAAACCCCTTGTGTAGAACCATGCCATAGTATTTCGGGGCTTTATTGGGCGTCTGTTTGGTGTATATAGGGCTTCAAACAATGTACAATAGCTTGCAGAGGGATTCTTAGCCGTATTTGCGGTATACTGCTCAGTCGCGAGCTTTAATAAGTAAACTCCAGTCCAGCCCAAACGGGAACAACCATCAGGGAGAATAGAACCTGCCTGGACCCTCAAGAACCTATCCTTTCAGGGCTCTTTTCTATGATTTCCTCATTTACGTCCTTAAAAACCGCAAGTTATCTAGGGTTGCGCTTATCCCAGAGCCATAAACACCGTGCAAAATCCTTATTCGGCCTCCTGCAGCTCCTCTAGGCGCGCTACAGGGTTTAGGGTTTAGGAGAGCAGAAACTCCCAACCTAAGACTGAAATTAGAGGCCTTAATCGTGATTGTCGGTTTTTTGGGTATATTATGCCATAAGCAAGTTAAAGCGAAGATAAGAATTTCAAATAGCCCGGTGTGACCCCAAATGGTTTCTGGGTCGCAGGCATGGAGGCCTTTCTCCCAGAGCTGAATGCCTTCCTCCAGTCGGGTGGCGCGGACATCAAGGACGTCCACAAGGCTGCAGAGGGATACGGCTGATGATATAAATCCTGCATTACCTTAAGGACCCTAGACTATGGGAATTACGGTATATTCCCTGTTATGGGTAATGCAGGATTTATATCATCAAGCGTAGGATTCCAAATTGTGTGTATGCTGGTTCACATGTGCTTATTCATAGTCATGCGCATTTTCTTACATTCGCACACACAAAACAGTGCAAGAGTATCTGTGTAAATACCTAAATTGTACATACCTACCTGCCTATCTGCCTATCTACCTACATATCTGCATATCTACATATCTACATTCATGCGTGTGTACATGTGTACATGCATACATGCCTACATACATACCTACATACCATCGAACATCCATCCATCCATCCATCCATCCATCCATCAATCAATCCGTCCATGCATGCATGCATACATGCACGGAGGTGCACATCGTTTTGTTGCGAAGGTCATGTGTATCTTAATATACATATACATGCAAACACACACACACAAATATACACACATATATATATATATATATATATGAGAGAGGCTCCTTTAGGGTCAATTTGACGCATTTGTTTAATTATATATATGAATATGAATTTAAATATTTTAAATAATTTAAATATTTTAAATAGTTTAAATATTTAAATTGTTTAAATTATTTCCTTTACAAAATAATTTAAATAATTTAAATGAATTAGATACGGCTTATTTAAAATATCTAAATTATTTAAAATATTTTTCAAAAGGAATTTTTTAAATAATTTAAAAACTTAAATCATTTAAATTATTTCCTGTAAAAAATGATTTAAATAATTTAAATAAGTTAAATACTGCTTATTTGATTATTTAAATTATTTAAAATATTTCCTGTACAAAATAATTTAAATAATTTAAATAATTTAAATAGTTAGTTAGCTATCCTAAAACAACCTTTCCAGGACTATTTAAATAATTTAAATAATTTAAATAATCTAAATAATTTAAATATTTTAAATGATTTAAATATTTAAATTATTTAATTATTTCCTTTACAAAAGAATTTAAATAATTTAAAAAATTAAATACAGCTTATTTAAATTATTTAAAATATTTAAATTATGTAAATTATTTAAATAGGGGGGAAACCTTCTAACCAAATGTGACAGCCGTATTTAAATTATTTAAATTATTTAAAATATTTCCTTGACAAAATAATTTAAATAATTTAAATAGTTAGTTAGCTATCCTAAAACAACCTTTCCAGGACTATTTAAATAATTAAATAATTTAAAATAATTTAAATATTTTAAATGATTTAAATATTTAAATTATTTAAATTATTTCCTTTACAAAAGAATTTAAATAATTTAAAAAAAATTAAATACAGCTTATTTAAATTATTTAAAATATTTAAATTATTTAAATTATTTAAATAGGGGGGAAACCTTCTAACCAAATGTGACAGCCGTATTTAAATTATTTAAATTATTTAAAATATTTCCTTGACAAAATAATTTAAATAATTTAAATAGTTAGTTAGCTATCCTAAAACAACCTTTCCAGGACTATTTAAATAATTTAAATAATTTAAATAATCTAAATAATTTAAATATTTTAAATGATTTAAATATTTAAATTATTTAAATTATTTCCTTACAAAAGAATTTAAATAATTTAAAAAAATTAAATACAGCTTATTTAAATTATTTAAAATATTTAAATTATTTAAATTATTTAAATTATTTAAATAGGGGGGAAACCTTCTAACCAAATGTGACAGCCGTATTTAAATTATTTAAATTATTTAAAATATTTCCTTGACAAAATAATTTAAATAATTTAAACAATTTAAATAGTTAGTTAGCTATCCTAAAACAACCTTTCCAGGACTATTTAAATAATTTAAATAATCTAAATAATCTAAATAATTTAAATATTTTAAATGATGTAAATATTTAAATTATTTAAATTATTTCCTTTACAAAATAATTTAAATATTTTAAAAAAATTAAATACAGCTTATTTAAATTATTTAAAATATTTAAATTATTTAAATTATTTAAATTATTTAAATTATGCAAATTATTTAAATAGGGGGGAAACCTTCTAGCCAAATGTGACAGCCATATTTAAATTATTTAAATTATTTCCTTGACAAAATAATTTAAATAATTTAAAAAAAATAAATACAGCTTATTTTAAATATTTTAAATATTTTGCATATTTAAATTATTTAAATTATTTAAATTATTTGAATTAATTAAATTATTTAAATTATTTAAATAGGGACGGAAACTGTTTTTTCACTCTGCCCCTCACCCACCCTCCCGCCCTCCCCTTATCTGGGAGGGTGAGGGGAGGGAGGCAGAGGAAAGGGTGAGGGGAGGGGGGGGCAGGGAGGGAGGAAGGGAGGGAGGAAGGGAGGAGGGAGGGGGAGGGAGGAAGGAAGGAAGGGCAAGGGAGGAAGGGTGAGGGGAAGGGTGAGGGGAAGGGATGCAGGGGGAGACCCCTCCCCCACTCGCTGCGCCCCTTCCCCAAACCTTTTAGTTGAGGGCCCAGGCCACCCTCCCCCACCCCCATCCCCCCCCCACCACCCCCCCTGCGCCATCTCCATCCCTTCCTCCCCCTCCCCTCCCGCCTCCTCTCCATCCCCTCCCCGCGCACCACCACCTGACCCCTAATCGCCCCCCCGGACCCTTCCCCTCCCATCACCCCATCTCCTCACGCATATCCTCTCCCCTATCCAGCCCCGTTGTCCCTTGCCCTCTGCCCCCTGCCCCCTGCCCCGTGCCACCACCCAACCACGCCCCCACCCCACCCACCACGAAAATTTGATGCTATCGAACCGCTGCGTTTTCCGATAGCACCAAATTTTCGGAAGCGGCTCCTTTCAGAAATTTTGGTGCTATCGAACCGCACCCCCCCACCCCCCCACCCCCCACCATCCCACCCATCACCCCCTCCACCCTACCAACACCCCTGCCCCCACTCCCCACCCCACCCACCACCAGCTGCCCACCATCCACCCCATCCCACCCTCCCACCCACCACACATAGGGCCTAGGGTTTGCGCTATAGGGTTTAGGGCCTAGGGTTTGGACTTTAGGGTTTAGGGCCTAGGGTTTGGGCTCTAGGGTTTAGGGTTTAGGGACACATTTCAGGCCGGAAATGTGTCATCTTTTCCGCCTTACAGAAAGAAGCATGACACATTTCAGGCCGGAAATGTGTCATCTTTTCCGCCTTACAGAAGGAAGCATGACACATTTCAGGCCGGAAATGTGTCATCTTTTCCGCCTTACAGAAGGAAGCATGACACATTTCAGGCCGGAAATGTGTCATCTTTTCCGCCTTACAGAAAGAAGCATGACACATTTCAGGCCTCCCCCTGTTCCCTTGCCCCCTCTCCTACCATCCCTGCCTTCCCCACCTCCTCACCTTTCCCTCCCCTTTGCCATTTGCCCCCTGCCCCCTGCCATCTCCATCATATCCATCACCCCCATCATCTTCTTCATCTCCATCATCTCATCATCTCCATCATCTCCATCATCTTCATCATCTCCATCATCTCCATCATCTTCATCATCTTCATCATCTCCATTATCTTCATCATCTTCATCATCTGCATCATCTTCATCTTCTTCATCATCTTCGTTGCCGGTTTCATTGGTTTTAATACCGCTCCCTCTATTTTTAAAGTAATTTCATAGGTATTGTACGAACCATAATACAATCGATTTATCTTAACTACTATATCAAGAATAGCTTACCACATCGCATCTACATACTTTGTAACCGGGCTTACTATAAAGGCCCCATATGAGGGATCCATAATGGGTTTCTAGAAAGTCTCTCTGTAAGTGATCTACAGTTTTTTATATAATGGATTTATATAAGGTCTCTACATAGAGGATCTATAAGATTTCTATAAGCAATCTGTAAGGGTTTTCCAGAAGGGCTCCATACGAGGGATCTATACAGGGCTTCCATGTGGTTTCTACAAAGGGTAAGGAATATATAGCAGTTGTCTATGAAAGCTCCATGTAAGGGATCTTGTAAAGTTTTCTACAAAGAACTCCATTTTTACAGAAGGAAGCATGACACATTTCAGGCCGGAAGTGTGTCATTCTTTCCGCCTTACAGAAGGAAGCATGACACATTTCAGGCCGGAAATGTGTCATCGTTTCCGCCTTACAGAAAGAAGCATGACACATTTCAGGCCGGAAACCGCCTTACAGAAGGAAGCATGACACATTTCAGGCCGGAAATGTGTCTTCGTTTCCGCCTTACAGAAAGAAGCATGACACATTTCAGGCCGGAAATGTGTCATCTTTTCCGCCTCACAGAAGGAA